TAACAAAAACAATGAATTCTTCATGGGCTGGTGTATGAGATAAGCTCACTTCCAAATAAATGTGCAACAGACAAAGCACTTCTGATGTTTAAAATTCAATTTCTTCTCATTCTTTATGGCATCTGTAAAATAAATGTTTGTATTGTATTTTTGTTTAAGCACATTGGTTTTTAAGTTATTATTGTCTGTAAAAAATTGTAATACCAGACAACTTTTTTTTTTACTTTACCACATGAGTAGGAGCAAATTCAGCAATGATGATAATTATCACAGTTTTCCTAGGCAGGATGAGCCATATCATGGTAAGCAAACCTGTGCACTGAAATCCACTGTTAAAGTCTACCAAAGTTGAAATTATATGGTGCAAAACAATGTATGAAATTTTTAAACAAGCAATTAAAGTATCAATGACAAAATTCTCCTGCCAGAGATATTCCAAACTCTCAAGCACTCTTCTATGCAAATTGTAACAGAGAAAAATATTTGTGACCAATAGCTTTTCGCATGACACATTTTTGTCACAAACAGTTAAATTGTAAAGTTACAAATACTGCAAAAGAACACTCATAACATTTTATCTTCCACCAAATGTAGTGATTAAATCTTTGTATGATAATAAATCAGTCCTAACATTGTGTACTAAAGTAATGTGAAAAGGATTACCTTATTATTACTATTTGTTTTATATTCCAAGTTCACTGGTCTAATTACCATAAGTATAAGAACACTATGTATATACAGAACAAACAAAGAAACAATCAACTATATTCGGACTTACCAGTTTTCCACTTGGATATATATCCCAAACAATACGACAATACTCCATGGTTGCTTCAACTACTGTTGTCCATAAGGATTTGGTTATTGGAGCTAATGGAATGATTCCTGGTTGGTGAGCTTTTGTAAAAATATCAAACTCCACTTGCTGACAGCTTGGAGCCAAAAAGTGAGGACTGTGGTCTAACACCACAACAGTTTTGTGGGACAGTGGGTAACTCATAATAGTTAGTATTCTAAAGGCTTTAGACAGGCATATATATTGCAGGTGAGGCTAACAAAAGTAAAAAAATATATATATATATATACGTACAGGAAATCACCCAATGATACTACTTAACAATAATTGTCATAGTTAAACTTTTGTATATTTATTTATGTTTTCTGTTTTTAACAGATAGATATATTACATAACTGTAAATTCTGTATCTATCTTCAACTATCCATCTATTCATTTATATATATATATATATATATCATACAGTTGTGTCCCATATAGACATAAAGGGTGGTTGTAAGTAAAAGACCAGGTTAGCTCACAAAGGGTAAATGAAATAAAGATAAGAATAACAAACTTTTGAAGTTTAAATTGATTGCTATGATGGGAGACTTAAAGAATTACAGAAGATCAAGAGAGTTCATCAAACAGGACCTTAAGCAGAGAGTATATGAAAAATGGTTAGTTGAAAATTGTAAAACAGGATTTCTTTAAATACATTAAGGGTAATAGAAACCTTAGGATGGGAGTAGGGTCTTTGACAGTTTTTACAAATGAAGATTTAAGCAATATTCTTCATCCTGAATAACTGCTAGATGGAAACACGATCAAAAAAGGTGATCATGTTAATTATGAGTAAAAGCTGGGAATATTAAAGAATTATAAAGCTATTAGACCATATATTTACTCACAGTTTTTAATGAGTTAAGGAATGGATATGTGAGTCACCTGCTATTATATTTTGTAAGTCTTTAAACAGTGGGCAGGTGCCAGAAGATCGGAAGTTGGTTAATGTTACTCCTCTTTTCAAAGCAAGTGATAAAATTGTCCAGGTAATTATAGGCCTACTAAACTTAAATCAGTGATGAAAAAAGTTTTGAGTCTGATAAAAGATGCTTTGCAAATTCATTTAACAAAGTTTAAAATTTTGTTTGACAGTCAACATGGTTTTACCTTACTAATCTTTGATGAGGTTACTGTTTATGTTAGTGAGGGTAAATGTGTAAATTTAGTGTATCTGGATTTTCAGAAAGCATTTGACAAAGTGCCATATAAAAGGCTTGTTAAAAAAAAAGATCTCTTATAGGTGTGAGGGATAAGTTGGCTTGTTGGTACAGCTGGGCAATTAGCAGAATTTGCTAATCAATTAATCGTTTGGCTCATCCTCATCACTCAACTACTATCACAAGATATCTATAAAACAAAAAACAACATAATGCCAGAAAATGAGTTTTGATACCCATGTGAGAAGATAGCCTACTGTATAGCTTTGCACTTAGCAACAAACCTAATGCCAGTATTTCATCACTTGGATAGTTGGAATAATCAAAAATAGTAAACATCAAAAACCATAATTTCGTTATTTTTTATTTTTATAAGTCATGACATTGATCAATTAAGCCAAGAAAACTTGAATTAACTTAAAGTAATAAGGAAAAATCATGATGACAATATTACAATTACTTGATATTTGAAATAAATCAAATCTAATAATTGGAAACACTACTTGATTATTATCATATTAAATATATATCTATAAAATATCTGATTAATCAAAATTAAGATTATATTGATTAATATCACAAAATGTAATCTCAGTTGTTGCTTTGAATAAATCACAGCGCTTCAAGTTCAAGCATTCTAACTATTCTTCATCAATCATGGCTATACATAAAACTAAAAGAAGACATATTAATCAATATAATATTAATTTTGATTAAACAATTACATTATGGTACACTAACTAAAATAACTGATTTATCCACTCAGCTCTACTCACTGGATCAGAGAATAGCTAGATAGAAGAAACTTAGAAAGTAGAGTATTTTATAAAATAAATAGAATTCTGTAAAACTGAATTAATGTCTTGTGGGATACCTCAGGGATCAGTGTCAGGATATTTGCTCTTTTTGATTAACATCAAACACATAGATGAATGAAAGGTTAATAAGTTACTTAAATTTTCTGAAGATATTAAGTTTCGGGTGTTGCTGCTTTACAAAAATATTTAAATTAATTAGTGAGTTGATCAAATAATTAGGCTTAACTTTAGTTCCTTTTTCAACATAAACATATCAACACAGGTATATCAAAAAGAGCATGTCTAATATTAGAGAGCGCCCTCTCATATCACGAAAAGTAGTCGTGAAAATAATAACCAAAATGTATTTTTTGAGTGTTGAACACTTAAAGTCAAACGCACGTAAGCACGAGTAAAGTAATTACTAAAAATGCATATGCTTTTAAGTTTTAAGTATAGCATTCGTCGCGCCCCAGTGGTACAGCGGTATGTCTGCGGACTTACAACGCTAGAAACCGGGTTTCGATACCCGTGGTGGGCAGATAGCCCATTGTGTAGCTTTGTGCTTAATTACAAACAAACAGCATTCGTTATATTCATCCTATACACTCTTCACTACGAACAAATCTAAAATGGGTACTACGTTGTCATAAATGATCTGAAAGCTTTCCTTTAACTGTAGCTCATGTGATCTGATTTTGAAAAAAACAATTGACCTCACAAAGTAAACACACAAAATATTCCCATTAAAACTGTGGTATTGTGTACCAAAACTAGGCAAACTATCATTAATCAATACAAGTTACATCATGATCATTTTCGCTTTAGATGATGTATCTGTTTGACATTTTATATACATTAAAGGGTGATTTCATGATATGAAATCTTTTATGTCCCTCAGTTACTCGAAGAAAACCTAGCTAATAACACACAAATATATTAAATAAATATATTCTGGTTATTTTCTTCGTCTTAATGAGAAGCAAACAAATGATCCACCCTGTGGTCCATGTCGTTTACTTGAAACGAAATTCTACCTTTAATCAAAAACGCATTTGTTCAAATAATCATTATAAATGCATTTTACCCTGAAAGAGTAATTTGTTTCTTTATATTTCAGAATTTTCGCCCAAAACTACACAAAAGGCTATATGGACATAACCATCCCTAATTTTGAACTGATAGACTAGAAGTAGAAGGAAATCAGCTAATCAATAGCACTCATTGCCAAATTTTGTCTGATCAAATAGTGAGATTTGGCCGTCACCCTTAAAACGCATCCACGGCCCCAAAGTGTGCAACGCATTTTGAGGCAACGGGACTCAAACCATGAATCTTGGTTACACTATCCCATACCCGGCCTTGAAACGTTAAAAGAATATTTATGTCTAATCTATAGAAATTCACTCAAGTGGGTTATAACGAAATAACTTATATTAACAGTAGTTTGCTAGTAGATTTGACAAATGTATGTACAGATCAATATGCAACAGTAAATGGATATGTATTACTTGTTTTATATTCTATTTAAATAATAACGTGTTTCTAGATTGATCTTCATTCTCGTATGTGAACTGATATGATACATGCTTATAATACATGTAGTTCGCTTAAATGATACAATATTATTATCATGACAATTTTTGGTTTAACACCATGAAATGATCGTTTTGAAGAAGTCTACTTATAACTATGAAATACGTTTTAATTGTTGGCTGTTGCGAAAATAAAATTTGAAGTAAATAAATCACATTGTAGTTTTATACTGACATAATGTTTTTCTCACGCCCCCCCCCCCCCCCGCTCGACTCGCAATCTGCGGGTGGCGGGTTCGAATCCCCATCACTGAACATGCTCGCCCTTTCAGCCGTGAAGGCGTTATAACGCGGCGGTCAATCCCACTATTCGTTGATAAAAGAGTAGCTCAAGAGTTGGCGGTGGGTGGTGATGACTAGTTGCCCTCCCTTTAGTCTATCACTGCTAAATTAGGGACAGCTAGCATAGGTAGCCCTCGAGTAGTTTAGCGCGAAATTTAAAACAAAATCATGCCCCCATCTCCCTAGCTCAATAACAAATCTCGTGTCTTATAGTGCTGCCCCCCAGTGGCACAGTGGTATGTCTGCGGACTTACAAAGTTAGAATCCGGGTTTCGATACCCGTGGTGGGCAGAGCACATATAGCCCATTGTGTAGCTTTGTGCTTAATTACAAATAAATAAACTTATAGTGCTAAAATATTGGTTTTGATACCCACGGTGACACATTACATGCAGAACTTTGCGCTTAGCAACAAACAATCAATGTTTCTTTGATTTTAAATATTCTGTTAAAGAGTTTTTGCTTTTTATTTTACAAAACAATTTAACCATTCTTTCAAAATGTTAAAAACGAATAATGATACAACCGTACTTGTACGTTTGTTTGGTGTTAAGCACAAAGTTACAAAGCTATCTGTGCTCTACCCAACAAGAAAACCGAAACCAGAATTTTAGCGTTATAACCCATCAGACTTGTCGCTGAGCCACCGAGGGTGATGTATTTGTATGGAAAAATAATTCATAATATTTTGAATACTGTTACGTATCTGCTCGTTTGTTAATTTCCGGTATAAATTCTTTCCGACGAACTTCAGCGATACAAGTCCTTTCTTAATTAAAACTAGTTTATTCTTTCTCGATACAACTTTTTGATATACTTAAATTTTATAACACACGCTATAAATCACAGTGATTCACACACTTTACTTACGGTGCCTACTGTTCGCTTGACTCAGTTATCTTTATCTTCAATCTATCTGCATATCTCTACGATTCTATCTCTTTTTTTTCGCTGCCTTTATTTGCCGGGCTTATATACTAAAAAAGAGGGCGCCTGG